GTGATATTAGTATGCACAGGAAACAGGAATGTTAAATCGGGCCAACTGGTTGATGTGTTTGTCTTGGCAGTCTTGAGACCGAGTCTCAGCCTGTCATCCAGAATGGCTAGAACTCAGAATTCTGCCTCATCATCTCAGTACTGGGACCACAGGCATTTGTTACCACTCTCGGCTTCTAGGTGATCATTCTTGAATGGGTTACATAAGACACCTACCCACTGAAAGAAATCACACAAGGTCTGTGTACAGAAAACTCTTCCGAAGCTTTAAAATGAATGAACCTCTGAGCACTTGTGTGTTCATTACTACAACCATGATTTCCAGCCTCTCAGGAGACTGCGCTGAGGAATGTGTGTCTATATGACTGCAGATAGAGATGACTGGAAATGTATTTATTACCCTGTATGTTCATGGGTCAGAGCAGATGAGAAGGCTCGGGTGGTAAAGGCATCCACAGGCACGCCTGACAACCTGAGTTTGATCCCAGGAGTCCACATTATGGTGAGAGAGAACGACTCCCACCTCTGTTCTCTGACTCCACGCACATGCCACTCACAGCTCCACACACACAGAGACGGTAAGTGCACAAAAATACGCAGAAAACTTGTGAGTCCACAACAATATTTTCAACGTGATTTTCTTTCTCTTTCTGACATTTATTTTGCTGCCCAAACTGCTGTTATGAACAGAGCCTCATAAGCAAAGCTTCTCAAGTTTACTCTGTCACAACTTACATACACTAATTTATTTCAAAGGAAAATTTGTGGGACTGAAAAGGTAGGTCAGTGATTGAGATCTCTAGTTACTTTTGCAGAAGTCTCAGGAAGAGTTAGTGCCCAGCACCCACATGGTGACTGACAACCATCCGATCCAGTGAATCCAAACCTTCTTCTGACTTCTGTGGCCACCAAGAACATATGTGGTGCACAGACATATATGCAGGCAACACTCATGCTCATAAGACAAGAATAAACATTTTAAAGTTTATTTAATTAACTTTAAAATGAGGACACACATTCATGAGACGGGGACAGTTCTCAGACTGGGCACAGGAAGCTGGACGCTTGCCTTCTGATTGGGTGTGCTACAGTCTGGGGTGTGGCCTTTCCCTGGAGTTATAGTGTTTTCTTAATTTTAAATAGAAGTTTTAATATGTATTCTGAAACCTTTGAAAAAAAAGGACATTACATGTTTGGAGTGTGTTCCAGACTATGAAGTTCCACAGTGCTATCATGATCAAATTCTCTCCTAAGCAGTCAGTGAGTCTGAGAACATTGCATTTAATGAGATCAAGTGTGAGGATGTGTGGGACCAACAGTGATGGCATCTGGGAGTGATATTGAGCATCACTATGGTGTCCTCCTAAGGACCAGCTGAGCTGGTACAGCTGACCCTCTGTATCAGCACATTCCACCAACCACAGGTTCAATCTTTAAAAATCGTGTCTGTGCCAAACACGTATAGACATTTCCCCCTCACCGTTATTCCCAGAACAACACAGTGTAACACTTGTTTACATAGCATTTACATTGCTTTAGGCATTGTAAGCAATTAAGACATGGCTTATGGAGGATGTGTAAGGACACGGGCAAACACTGCACCATCTTATATCATGGAGTATAAGATCTTCTAGTGTTTGCATCAGCAGAGGTCCTGGACCCAGCTGCCATGATGTCAAGGGACCACTGTACACAGCTTGCTTTGTTGTAGGTTCACTGAAGAGGATGAGGAGGAGGAGGGAGAGGATAAAGAATACATTAAGAAACTCTGTTTATAAAGTTACCAAACTTTTCTGATGTTTCCTTATCTGGAAACTGTTGGCGCCCAAGTTTCAATATCTTCAAGGCCACAAAATTTGGCAAAATGGTGACTAGAAAAGGGAAAATAACATATAGTTAGTTCAGATACATTCCTGTGACACAGAGGAATACCATTGAAGTAAGAGTGTTTCAAAAGTGATGAAAGGTGATATAATATACAGAATGAATTACTATGACTAAGTAGAGGAAACAATTCTGAAAATGAAATGGTTACATTGTAGACACAGATACACTTCATTGTGAAAGACTCACTGAAGTCAGGTGCTGTCACAGTTTCTGTGACACCAGCAGCCTTTTAATTCTAGAGTATTTAATGACTTTTTGCACAGGAGCATCTGAAGTCACAGTTGTAAGCTTATAGTTCTTACCAAATGGCATGGCTTCAAAGCATCGTCCAGAAAACTCAATCTCTCTGAGTTTCTTGCAGGAAGCAAGCACAGTCATGAGAGACTCACAGTTCGAAAAGAAATCACATTTCAGGTAGAAAACTTGGAGATTTGGAGAGTTCTGGATCAATTTAACTGGAAAAGATGAACGACATTCAGAAATTCAAGAAGATTACAAATTACTATCCAGACTGGCCTCTCAGTCCATAATCTCCAGCCACACCATTAAACAACAGTGATGCAGTGATCTAATGCTCAGGCCATGTTGGGCGTGTGCTCAGCTTCTGCCACTGACTGATGAGCAGAAGACCTGCGGCAGGTTCCTGACCCTCTCTGGATCAGTTTTCTCTTCTCCATATTTCACCTTCAGCATCAGCACCCTGATATCTCTGTGTTTGCACACTGCCCTGACGCAGCAGGAATTCTGTACAGAGTCACATAAAAGAGTATCAAGGACTATGGGGGTCCAGCCCCTCTATAGTCCCCTCCCAGGGTCTGGGAAGAATCTACAACCAGCTGATCATTAATCTTTGATGAAAAGAATCCACGTACACGAAACTCCTTAGTCCATACACTTTTTTATTCTGTGTCAGTTTTCTCTCTACAAGCTTCTATTCTCTTTTAGCTCCTTCTTGCCTGATTTCCTTTTTATTCATCTACTGTTCCCTCTAAGTTCTTTCTTAATTCTCTTATCTTAATTCTGCCTTATCTAGGTCCTTTTCATCTCTTTCTTACCCAGCTAGTACTTCCCCATCTGACTCTCCCTCATCTTCCATCTTGTCTACACGTTCTTTCTGGTCAAAATCCTCCTTATCCCTCTCTGTTCTCTGTCTCTAAGTTCTCACAGTTGTCTACATACCTCCTATGTCTCCCAGGAATCGAGTTATAAACCCAAGCAATAGTAATCCCCTGATCGAGCAAGGTCACCAGGCTTGAATTCTATGGGGTCATAGAGGCAGGTAAGAATTTTTCTCAGGCAATGACTACCAGGCTTTCTTTTACAATCCAAAATGGGAGTGGTAAAAGAGGAGGTCAACAGAGTGCTAATAACCGGTTAATATATGAAAAGGTGGGTCTATGTGCTCAGTCTACATTCTGAGACGTGGTTAGGTACGAAGTTAGGGGTCTATAAAGTTAGTAAGGCTGTAAGAAGGAAGGGTCCTAGCTAAATTGTGTAAAGCTATTACTTAAAATCTACCTGACCTAGGTGGTGTCTCCTTGTGGAATTTACCTTAAATCAGGAGACTAGCATGTGAACTGCTATTACTGTCAATCCTTGAAAGAGGTTAAGGGAGTTATCTGATTCCAGTACTGAAAGGGGAGAACCAGATGGGCTGTGGGGAAGGAAGTCTTTCCCCAGGTTATTCTCCAAATACCTTAAATGTATATGTCCAAAGAGTGATCAGTCCATACTGTTAGCACTTCTAGGGGCAAATCAATTGGGAAAACTATGAAGGCACACATGATTTTCATAACAGAAGACAGCTGATATGTAACAAGCCAAGTAACACCGAAAGCTCCTTCGAATTTGGCTTCCTCTGAAGGAATTCCTTGATCCCCTCAGGTAGTGACTTTGCCATAACCAGCTGCGTTCTTATGATAGATTCCTGTAGCCCTCAGAAGAAGAAGGGACAACTCTGAAGCACAACTTTAAGAATACGTGACCTTATTTATTTTGTCTATGTTTATATGGTATGTGTGGAGGTCATCCTTGGCCATAGGACACATGCAAAGGTCAGGGCAAAAGTGGGTGAATTTTTTCCTTCCAACATACTGATCTGTGGGACAGAGGTCATCAAGCTTGGCAGGAAGTACCTTTACCTGCTGATCCATCTCCA